AGCAATTGGACTTGTGGGATAACGGTCCAAAATTTCATTTTTTTGTCCCAAAAATTTGGTTCAAACAGGGGCTTAGTTTGTTTTAGATTTATTGCTAGTAAGATATAAATATATATTGAATTTAATGAATTAATGCATAAAAATAGACAGGCAAAAAAATATATGTCGAAACCGACGATTTAAAATCGGATCAAACCGTTAAGTTTAGGTTTGAGTTTTTGTAAACCATTCAAAATGGTTTGGTTTAGGTTTGAATTTTTCTCAAACCAGTTTAAAGGTTTGATTTGAAATTTCGTCAAAAATCGGTAAAATTAGATTGTTTACACCCCTATTTTAAGCAGCCGCAACCCTTCTGTGCCTCGAGAAATAATAAATTGAACTCATTTATGTTGTAAAATGGATATGACATTTAAAAAAATTGAGAGATATGCTCGTTACTCGTATTTTGTTGAAAATAATAGAATTACTTTTGCCTTCATCGGCTTTATATCAAATAATAATCTATGTCATTTTAATCATTCTTTGTCACGTGATCTACTTTTCTTTTGTACTTTACAGATCTAGTGTTTGAGGATGAAAGGCCATTGAGAACGACACTTATATCATTACTGAAATGAAAAGTTCTAAGAGACCGGCACAAGTGTGGTTTAGATGATGAAAATGTCATTAAGAACGGCACTTGTGCCATTACTAAGTGAAAAGTTCTAAAAGAATGACACAAGTGCCTTTATCAAAATATAATTTGTTCATGAGAATGGCACAACTGCCATTACTGTAAAGAAAATGACAGTCTGTCTATAAACATGAGTATATGAAGTCATGACTCATTCATGCCCCTAGAACCAATAAATTGAACTTATTTCAATTACAAGATGGCCATGCTGTTTTACAAAAATTGAGAAATGTGATCATTAATTATATTTGCTAACGAGTCAGTAACATGACTTGTGATTTCACCAACTCGATATTGTATAACCTATGTTAATTGAGAGATATGCTCAGTACTTGTATTATGTTAAAAATAGTATAATAACTTGTGCTTTTGAACTCATTTTAGTTGCAAGATGGACACGCCGTGTACAAAGTTAGAGATGTGCTCATTAACTATATTTTCTAATGAATGTAGATAACAACTTGTGATTTCTCTAACTCAATATCGTATAATCTATGTTAATTCTACCGTTGTTTGTCACATGGTTAACATTTCTGATTTTCTTAAGTTAGGAGATCCAATGCTTGAGGTCGTTGCAGTGAAAAAGATGCAAAATATTGGATAAATCATTGGAACGGCACAAGTGTCGTTAAACGTCGCTTGTGTTGTTCTGTCTTTAAACACTAGTATGAGCCACCACAACCCATCTGATCCTCGATAATCAATGATTTGAACTAAATTAAGTTGCAAGATGGACACGTCGTGTATAAAGTTTGATAGATGTGCTCATTAATTATATTTTCTAACGAATGTAGATAATGACTTGTGATTTCTCCAACTTTATATCGTATAATCTATGTGAATTCTACCATTGTTTGTCACATGGTCAACATTTCTGATTTTCTTAAATTAAGGGGTCCAATACTTAAGGTCGTTGTAGTGGAAAAGATGCAAAATATCGGAAAAATCATCGGAACAGCACAATTGTCATTAAACGTCACTGTGTCATTCTGTCTTTAAACACTAATACAAGTCGCCATGACCCATCCTATCCTCGATAATCGATGATTCGAACTCATTTCAGTTGCAAGATGGACAAGTTGTGTACAAAGTTTGAGAGATGTGCTCGTTAACTATATTTTCTACTGAATGTAGATAACGACTTGTAGTTTCTTCAACTCTATATCGTATAATCTATGTCAATTCTACCGTTATTTATCACATGATCAATATTTCTGACTTTCTTAAGTTAGGGAGTCCAATGCTTGAGGTCGTTGTAGTAGAAAAGATGCAAAATATCGAAAAAATAATTAGAACGACACAAATGTCGTTAAACGTCTCTTGTATCCTTTTGTCTTTAAACACTAGTATGAGCCACAGTGACCCATCCGATCCCCAATAATCGATGATTTGAACTCATTTCAGTTTCGAGATGGACACATCGTGTACAAAGTTTGAGAGATGTGTAATGAACAATATTTTCTAATGAATGTAGATAATGACTTGTGATTTCTCCAACTCTATATCATATAATCTATGTCAATTCTACCGTTATTTGTCACATGATCAATATTTCTGACTTTCTTAAGTTAGGGAGTCCAATACTTGAAGTCGTTGTAGTAGAAAAGATGCAAACTATCGAAAAAAAAAATTGGAACGGCACAAATGCCGTTAAACGTCTCTTCTGTCGTTTTGTCTTTAAACATTAGTATGAGCCGCCATAACCCATCCGATCCCCAATAATCGATGATTTGAACTCATTTAAGTTGCAAGATGGACATGTCGTGTACAAAGTTTGAGAGATGTGCTCATTAATTATATTTTCTAACGAATGTAGATAACGACTTGTGATTTCTCCCTCTATATCGTATAATCTATGTGAATTCTACTATTATTTGTCTCATGATCAACATTTCTGACTTTCTTAAATTAAAGAGTCCAATACTTGAGGTCGTTGTAGTAGAAAAGATATAAAATATCAGAGAAATTATCAGAACGACACAAGTGCCATAAAACATCACTTGTGCCGTTCTATCTATAAACATAAGTATACGCAGCTACGATTCATTCATGACCCAAGAACCAATAAGTTGAACTAATTTCAGTTGAAAGATGGGCATGTCATTTACAAAAGTTGAGAGATGTGCTTATTAATTATATTTTCTAACGAATCAATACAATGGCTTACGATTTCACCAACTCGATATCATATAACTTATGTCAATTCAACCGTTTTTTGCCACATGATCAACTTTTCTAACTTTTTTAAGTTAGGGAATCCATAGTTTGAGGTCATTGCGTTAGAAAATAAGCAAAATATTAGAAAAATCAACAAAATGGCACAAGAGCCGTTAAACGACACTTTTGTTGTTCTATCTATAAACACAAGTATACGCTACCACGACCCATCCATGCCTCGAGAACCAATAAATTGAACTCATTTAAATTGAAAGATGGGTGTTCCATTTACAAAAGTTGTGAGATGTGATATTTTTTAACGAATTAATACAATGACTTATGATTTCACCTACTCGATATCATATAATCTATGTCAAATTAATTATTCTTGTAACATGGTCAACCTTTCTATCTTTCTTAAGTTTGGGGATCCAGTGTTTGAGGTCATTACATTGGAAAGTAAGCAAATTATTAGAGAAATCAACAGATCAGCACAAGAGCTGTTAAACGATATTTGTGTTGTTCTGTCTATAAACACTAGTTTATGCAGTCATGACACATTCATGTCCTAAGAACCAATAAATTGAACTCATTTTAGTTATAAGATGGACATGCCGTTTACAAAAGTTGAGAGTGTGCTAATTAATTATATTTTATAATAAATCATTACAATTAGTAGTAATTTCACTAACTCGATATCTTTTAATCTATATCATTTCAACATTTTTTGTCACGTGATCAACCTTTCTGACTTTCTTAAGTTATAGGGTCCAATTGAGGTTGTTGTGTTAGAAAATAAGCAAAATATTGAAGAATTCAATAGAACATCACAAGTATCGTTACTGGTAATGAAACGACATTTGTGTCGTTCTATCTATATACGCGAGTATAAACAACCACAGCTCGTCCTTGCCCTCGATAATCAATAAGTTAAACTTATTTAAGTTGCAAGATAGACATGCCTCTTACAAAATTTGAAAGATATATTGCCTATTTATTATTATGTATATATTGTACTTGTACTTTCACCAATTCGATAACATATCGGGCATATCGTTTCAATTGTTCTTCGTGACATGATCAACATTTATAGGTTCAATACATTAGATAGTCCATTATTAGAGATCTTTTCATTGAAAAACTAAACTATAGTAGATAATGACTGTAGTGTTGTTTTTCGTAGCGAAAAATGGCTGGAGTGCCGTTCTATCTATCAGATAATAGCTTGAGTACCATTATTATCTTATAGCTGCAAACAACACAAAAAATAACACCAACTAAAATATTATTCAATAAATGTACAATATACATGAAATTTCTAAAAGTGTCTTTCTTCTTTCTTCAAATGTAATGAAATTTTTCAATGTAGATAGTATGCTTATCAAACTCTTGTTCAAATGCTCAAAAGATACTCAAAATAGGTGAAGAATATAATAGATAAGAGAATTTTAGAGTAACAAGTATGGTAGTTGAAGATGAGAAAACACGTAATTGTGATTCGAAACCTAAACTTGAATATGGGAATTAATTGGATTGATATGGGTATTAGAATATTTTCCCATGGTGGGGATATTTTATGACATTTGACATTGTTTGTTTATTGTATTTCATAATTGGAGGCCATTTGACCAAGAAACATTGAAAGAGGAATAATTAACCAACTCTCCCAAAATTTAATTGTCAAATTTATTCTAAGTCCCTGCTAGGTGGGGATTGATTTTAATAAAAGTTAAAGTCAACAATTACTTTTAACCACATATTTTATGAGATCCACAACTTTTGAACTACATATTTATTAATTTTTATCAAAAATTACTTTAAAAAAATTGATTCTCTTCCCCCACCAAACAGGGGCTAAATCAAGGAATCCGCTAATTTCGATCACATAAATGACGGCTAGTTGAATTTCTCAAATTATCCATGTGAAGAAAATACTCTATTCCATTAGTCCTCTCATTTCAGAATCTTCCTAGAAACTCATGTTCTTCGACCAAATGCTTTGAATTGCACGTATATATATTCATGAACCTTTCACCTTCGTCAAATGTTTCAATCTCATAAATATCCATACATCTATCTCTATCTTTTGTGTTCTGTATGTCTCAGTCTGTCTCTGTCGAACCTTAAAAAGCATTATTAAAAAGCTTCGATATTTGTAAGAAGAAGAAAAATGGTATACGAAAATGGCGATTATGAAGCTGACTTTGAGCTTCTTGATGGCTCACGAACTCCAATAAGATTCTCCGGTGAAAATTATTCTAATGACATGTTTATGTATGGTGTAGGCAATGATGCTATAAGTGTAGGGTGGCTGCCAACTATCTCCATCACTTCTACAGTGGCACCAGCCGAAAGGGTTAGGGAGATGACTGTGGAGAGGATGGAGCCGTCGACGAAGGTGCCTAGGGTGAAGAATTATAGAGGTGTTAGGAGGCGGCTGTGGGGAAAATTTGCAGCGGAGATAAGGAATTCATCAAAAAATGGGTCCCGAGTATGGCAAGGTACATATGAGACAGCGGAGGATGCTGCATTGGCCTATGATAGGGCAACGTATCATATTCATGGCTCACGAACATTGCTGAATTTTTCGCATAGGATAAATTCCGGCAAGCTGGAGCCCATCCGTGTTACATTAAAGAGGACTTCAACGTCACCGGATCAGATTTCTTATTCCAGTTCATCAAAAAATAGGGCAACTAAGAAACGGAAGAAGGTGGTTGCACCGCCAGTGGTGCAAAATGGGTGCTGACTATGTAGTTGTTATTTAAATCATGCTATATGTATATTCTTTTTTGACATCGTGATTGACATTATGCCACTTGATGACACATGGTTTGACAATTAAAAAAAAAATTGTGCCCAACACTTTTTGAATTCCCATTAATGTACACCAAGATGTTGTAAGTATTATGCCCTAGGTCCAATCAATTTTGGACATAAATACTTTTGATATATAATTAATGCAATTTAATGGCAGATCTATTATTTAATTAATAGACAATTAAATAAATAATAAAGTCCGTAGATTCAAATCTTCGTAATTTGTTAATCACAAGGAGTTGTGATTGTGATATACAAATTACATCTGATTGAATCTTAAATCGTCCGTGATCATAAGTAATAACGAGATACAGATATCGTTATTACGGATAGACCATCACGTGTGGCATTTCTTACTTGTGATGTAAGTAGCTGATCTCACAAGCTAAAGTGTTGTGACACTTAAATGAACACGTAGATGTTTTGTTATAGAACAAAACATTAGAGACCCGTCGAGAGATTCCACATGGATAACTATCTGAGTGTCAGTGGTTAATCTCTAATGTTCGGTAGTGGAATTGGTCATTTGACTTGAGGTCGTCATGGTACCTTATATGGGGACAGTCATACTTACGCGGTATTGGATGTTACTCTTCAAAGGGCCGCTAATACAACATCGTTCGGGTATGTCAAGAATCGTATGAAGGTTGTGATTGATCAATAAAGGATTCGTCACTCTTAGATAGTAGGAGATTATGATCTGCGTTTCATTCAATTAAGTCGATGATGAAATCCTTGGCCAAGGTGTACTCATAAGTCGAAAAGAAGTTTTCAACTTATTTTGACTTAATAGTGGAGTGAAAGATATGATCGATAATTGAGATTGACACACTTCCATATCTCGTAATTGATCAGATCATATTGACGAAGGGATTATAGTTTCACGGTAAACGAACGAATTTGGTTTTGTCATACCACGTGACATTTTCCGTCACATGTATTGCCCTGACACATTGCTAGATGTCAATCAGGGACGGCGAATGTGAATTGACGATAAATTAAAAGAGTGTTTTAATTTATCAATTTTGATTAGATCAAAATAATATTTCACGTCGTTAGGTATCGTGATCGGGAACCTGATGGGTCACACACAAAAGAGAATTGAAAGATTGCAATTTATCAATTAATTAATTTAACAATCGTTGGATAATTTAATTAATTGGGTTGGTTATTTATAAGCTCGAATTAATTAATCAAATTAATTAATTCACGGACCGGATTTAATTAAATGAATTAATTAAATATTGGACCGGACCGGGCCAGGCCCGTTTGGACTTATATAAATACATGGCTAGGGTTTTCAATCCGTATGGTTTTTCTCATAATTATTCTTGCTAGCGCAAGAGGAGAAAACACCGGTGGTTGCAATCTTGTTCTCTATGTGGACCACCGTTGGAGGCTGGACAATGGGACAGCTGTGCGTGGCGAATCAAGATTGTTGGAATGAAAAAGAAAAGCAAAAGGTTTGCAGAATTCTTCAAAGGTACAATATTTATCACGATAATATTTATCACGATTTCTATCTAAACACAAAGGGATTCTCGGTGGAAATCGAAATAATTTTAATTTTTCGTTGTACATGTATAAGTAGATTCCCAACAGTGGTATCAGAGCCTACTTTGTGTTTGTTAGAAATTGATTTACGCGTTGAACAATCAAAAGTTGATCTTGTTATTTTCTTGTTTCTAGCTTTTTAAGTGAATTGATTTTTCTTATTCCTAAAATCTGTTTTGAAAAGAAAAACAATTTTTGGGTCGGAATATAAAAAAGAAAAAAAAACCCAAAAGATGGGCTGCTGCCGACAATGGCGCAGGACGCGACAGCGTTCGCTGCCGCGTTCGCCGGCACCGCCTGCTGCTTCTCAGGCAACAACGTTCGACGCTGCTGCAGCGGCTAGAAGCTGCCACTTTGGAGCGACGGCTTCCGCCACAGGTGGATAAGAGCGGCAATGGAATCTGGAGGTAGAAATTCTAGGGTTTTATTTGGGTGATAATTTAGGGTTTTCCGTTAGTTGGTGGAGACGGGGGTTTCTCTACAATTAGTGTAATTGTGGGGGCCTGGCTGCAATTATGTAAAAGGGGTCAATCTGCAAATTTAAATGGAGCGCATTTCCACAATTTACGAATATGAAAGCCCCTATTATTAATTTTTCCAATTGGGTCAAATTTGCAATTTTCAAAAGTGTTTTGAATTTGATTTTAAAATTATATTCTAAATGGGTTTGACCCATAATTTTAATTTTGACCCAAATTAAAATCTTATTTAAAAATTGACGACATTTTATATTTTCGTTAAAATTGGATTTTAAGTTAAATATTAAATTTTGACACCAATTGAATTTTATTTTATTTAGGAGTGTTATCCTAATTTAAAATATTGATTCAATTTAAATTAGAGTTGGACTCTAATTTAGGACTTAATTAAAATTCGATTTTAATTAATTTTTCACCTGAAGATATTTTAGAAATTAGAATTGGATTATAATTTGGCATTTAATTAAAATTTGATTTTAATTAAATTGTTTCACCCTAAACTTTTCTTTAAATTAGAGTTAGACTCTAATTTGATGTTTAATTAAAATTTGATTTTGATTACACAAGTTCGCCTTAAAATCTTAGATTTAGAATTGGACTCTAATTTTACCATTGAATTAAAATTTGATTTTAATTAAATTCAACCGCCTTAAGTTATGGAATTAGAGTTAGACTCCGATTTTGTTATTTAATTAAATTTTGATTTTAATTGAATTCAACCGCCTTAAATTTTGAAATTAGAGTTTGACTCTAATTTGATATTTAATTAAAATTTGATTTTTTAATTAAATTATCCCGCCCTATAATTGTTGAATTAGAGTTGGACTCTAATTCGGTATTTAATTAAAATTTGATTTTAATTAAACATGCCCATTAATTAAATAATCGATTAATTAATTATTTAATTATTCCGATTCATTTGTCTAAAAGAGTTTAGACGGCTTAATTGCTCGAAACTTAAAACTAATTTGCATATAATATTAGATATTATATAGATATACATTTATGTGATGAATGTATTATTAGTGGACGATTATAGACTCAACCATATGGATGTGTTGAATGGTTAATTTTTATTCTTGTTGTTTTCTGGGCTTGCGAGCTCTTAATTGTTTTAGGCCTGCGAACCCGTTATTATTGTTATGATTTTGGGCCTGCGAGCTCTTGATCATTTTGGACCTGCGAGTCCATTATTATTATTGTTGCTATGGGCCTACGAATCCAATTTCATTTAGGTCTGTGTGCCAACTAGTATAGGATACATGTTATAATTGGACTGATTGAAGAAACAAGAAGAGGAGGAGACCATGGAGATAGTGCATTGATACTGATCAATGTAATACCTCCTAGGAATTGACCAACTAGTCTTGCTTATAGCTCGGGAAGACTAGATAATAAAGTCCATAATCGTCCACACTATATATATATATATATATATTATTTATTTATTTATTTGCATAGTAGATGTATAATAAAATATATGTTATTGTTACGATGAGACCTTTCAATGCAAATCCCTTTATAAAATATTAAGTCACATTTATAATCGCCTTCCATCATTATAGTGAAAAATCAGAGTCCCAAATCGTCTCAACTTGTTGAGTACACTCAAGGCTGGTCCATTAGAGATATGTTTAACGCTATAAAATATTTGATATTTCTGAATGACGGGTTTGATTAACTAAAATTTATCTTTTATTGAGTACACTCAAGGAGATAAATTTTAGAGGTATGTTAAGCTAACACATAAGATGTGTGAAAACAAAGAATTGTCAGCTTAATGATCTGAAAGTTGTATGGAGATACAATTGATAATAGTATCTATCCAAATGTTATATTAAGGCTTGTTGAGTACACTCAAGGTCTTAATATAATATAGGATCCCAACCCACTGGAAGTCAAGTATGGACTCTATAAATTTATGTAAGAGGGTCATAAATTTTAATTAAACAGTGGGAGCATAATTAATTTAATAAAAGTCCATGTTAAATTAATTGATGCATTTTATATATTATTCTTTTCCTTTTGTCATTTACATTTATTGAATCGTGAGTAACCATGTGTGTTTGAGAGGCATATTGGATGCCAACAACCAAATTAAATCTTCTTGATTGGCACTACAATTTGAGAATTGTTCTCAGGCATGAGAAAGTTGGTTATCCTTAAGTAGCCATTTTCCAGTAACACCTGATGATAAATCAACTAAGGAAAATGTGGCTACTATAATAAACACAATGATGAGATAGTATTGCACGCATGTGATGCTTGCAACTATGTCACTGAATTACAAAAGCAATTTGAGAGTATAGATGTTAACACATAATTCTTCATTACAAAGAGTTGTATGATAATAAGTGACTTGGTTCTGCAATCTCTGTCAGAGAAAGGTATTCATAACTAATTATGAATTTAACGTGAATAAGCTCGGATGCATAATTATTGAGTTGCTTAACATGCTTAAGGCTGTTAAGCCCAACATCAAAATTAGTAGTGGGCAAGCCATTGATTCCTCTAAAGATATTAAAAGGAAGTCTATAAGGGCTTTGTGAAAGCGTCCAATATGGTTAAGACCATCAAAGCGAAGGACAGTACCAAATCTAATGACCCTTGGTTTCATTATAGAATGAAAGGTCATTGGAAGGAATATTGCGTGACTTACGTCTATTTCACGAGTTTGTTAGGTATTTGATACCAGATGTAAATCTCATATTTATACAAATATGGAGAAACTAAATAAAAGTAGACCATTACAAAAAGGAGAAGTTGACCTACACGTTGGAAATGAGCAAAGGTTGCTGCATTGCCTGTAGGAATATACTTCTTGCCATTGCCTTTTGATTTAGTATTGGAATTAGTGAAATGTCGCTTTATACCTACCATAGCTGGAACATTAAAA